TATTATTATTATTATTATTATTATTATTATTATTATTATTATTATTAAAGGTGGGACATGTTAACATGAAATTAGTTTTGCACAATTAACTTGAAGTTCAAAGACCAAATTTTTTACTATTTCTATCAATAATTGGCCCATATTTCTCCTTCTGCCACAGCACACAGAGGGCTTCAAGAAGAGGTGGTTTACCATGGATGACAGGCGGCTCATGTATTTCAAAGATCCTCTGGTAAGAAAAGACCGGATTGTGTTCTGTTCTTTCACATTAACTCAGTTTGTTGAACCTATGACCTCCATGTCTTTCTGCATGTATTTTGTTATCAGTTTTGGGGTTTTGTTTTGCAAATGGTCAGCTCTGATTAAGTGAATTTACACGTAGAAGTTAATTGGTACCCCAAAATGTTTTTGGGATCAGATGTCAATTGTCAGCCACTCTGTATGCACATACTGTACAAACCCAACCATGAGCAAGAATATCGCCACCAAAGCAGCTGGAATGAAAGGGGTGACAGGACGCCTACTGAAAACTTGCGCTGATTAGCTGGCAGGAGTGTTCACCAACATCACCTCTCCCTACAACAGGCTGCAGTCCTCAGCTACCTCAACACTCCCACCATCAAATCATACGCAGAAGGTCTGCCATAGAAACTCTAAATGATTTCAGCCCCATGGCCCTCACTCCTGTCATTGTGAAGTGTTTTGAGAAGATAGTGTTGGCACACATTAAGAGCAACATCTCTGCAGAAGTAGACAGCCATCAGTTTGCGTATCAGACTATAACATCTATGAAGGATGCTGTCTCTGTTGCCCTTCACACAGACCCGGCCCATATGGAGCAGCTAAATGCCTCTTTTAGGATGCTCTGTAGACTTCAGCAGTGCCTTCACCACTGTTGTTCCCTACAAACTGGTCTGTAAACATACTAATCCTGGACTCTTTACCTTACTCTGTTAATGGATTACGGACTTTTTGACTGACAGACCTCAGAATATCAGGATGGAAAACCTGACATCTGATATAATCATGAACACAGGCATACCACAGGGCTGTGTGCTTAGTCCAACCTTTTTTATCTTATTCCCACAAGACTGTCCCCATCTACTCCTCCAACACCATGGTAAGGTTTGTAGATGACACTAAAGTGGTGGATCATCTTGCGAATAGCAATGAGACATGTTACAGGCAGGAGGTCCAACATCTGCCAGAGTAATGTGCAGAAAACAACCACCAAAGTCAAGGTGGTCATTATAGACTTCAAAAGAACCAGGAGAACTGCACATTGCCTGCTCTACACCAGCAGTGTGGAGGTGGAGAGCGTGGACTCAATCAAATTTATTGTCACACAACAAATGGTAAATGGTAAATGGACTGTACTTATACAGCTCCTTTCTGTCTAATCAAGATACTCAAAGCTCTTTACTACAATCTGTGCCTCATTTACCCATTCATACAGCTCTATACTAGATCTCTACAAAGATAATTGAACAAATCATTCTAAAGAGACTAATCAGAGTTTTATCACATTCAAACACTGATGGGACACACATCAGAGGCAATGAGGGGTTCAGTGTCTTGCCCATGGACACTTCAACATGTGACTGCTGGTGGATTCGAACCCCCAACTCTTGCGTTGGAGGACGACTGCTCTAACCACTCAGCCACAACAAGAATCTGGCATTGACATTAAACACCTCCAACCTGGTTAGGAGGGCCCAGCAGGGATGGGATGTTCTTACTGAAGAAGCTGAAGCAGGTTAGTCTGGCTCTAGAGCTGCTGAAAAACTTCTACAGGAGCACCATAGAGACTATCGTCTACCAAGGCTGCTCAGTGTGGTGCAGCATGTGCACGGCAGAGGACAGAAAACATCTGTTCCAAGTGGTGAAGACTAAACAGAGAGGATTGTGGGAGCTGAGCTCTTAGACTTGGATTATGTGTATGCTGAAGACAATCAAAGGAGAGCATGGTTCATCTACATGATTCTACAACTCCTGAAAAAAATACATATGATGTGCGTTTTATTCCCAAAAGAGCCCAAAGTCCAGTTTGTTTACACAGAGGCTGCAGGATTATGGACTGGGACCATCCTGTGTGGATGATTTAGCCACTCCAGTTTCAACATCCTCGATATACTGCATGTTGACATCTTTAGTCCAGATTACATCTGAAGGTGGTCTGAATGAAAACATTTTCAATGACCATTAAATCCACTCAGACCAGTGGTTTCACTATTTGAATGTGACTGGATAGCCAAGAACTGATTTTCTGTCCCCCAGGACGCTTACGCTCGAGGTGAGGTGTTCATCGGCAGCAAGGAGAACAGCTACACTGTCCTGGCTGGCCTGCCCCCGTCCACTCAGGGCTACCACTGGAACCACGGTATCACCATCATCACACCAGACAGGAAGTTCCTGTTTGCCTGCGAGACAGAGGCGGAGCAACGGGACTGGATAGCTGCTTTCCAAAGAGTCATCAACCGACCAATGAGACCACAAGAATATGCAGGTTCTTATTGAAAACCTGATCTGTTTGCAGTTTAAAGCTTCATTAATATAAATTTAAGTTTGAATAGTCACACCCACAATACAACTTTTTTTTCCATTTTCTTTAAGATGTGTCAATAAATGTTTACATTTCTGTCCAGATTAGTTTTTTTCTCTAACAAACAAAACTCCTGCTTTGTAACCTTAAAGGGTCTTTTCTTTTCTACAGTGGAAGCCCATTTTAAACACAAGCCTTGAAGCTGCAGGACGTCAGAACTCAACAGAACCCTGGATCATTGTGGTCAGGGACAGCCTCTGCACCACGCCACTCACCAGGCCTCAGCAGGGTTGAGTTAGGGTCAGATGATTTAGAGCGGGGCAAGATAAAAAAACAAGACAAGTAAAAATAGTAGAAGGATTTTATTCTGTCTTTGTGGAGAAAAGGTCACATGGTAAATGATGTCATCACTAGTGATCCTACTAACTTTGTGCTGTATGTTTTTTTGTTTTTACCAGAGACCTTGTCTTCTCTGCTTAGTGGAGCCCTGGATTTTGTCTTGTGAATGGTTCATCCTGCCTGTAATCTGATGTAATTATATAATTTGCAGTCATTTCACTGGTTGCTTAAGGAAATCATTTATTGAATGTACAGTTTTAATGACAGTGGCTGAAGAATTGTGATGGTTTCATTGAAGACTGTGAGGTTAAACCTCTGGCACTGAAACCTGGATAAACCTGAACTTACAAAGTGCTTTTAACAACAAATATGCCTACAGAGCTCGTGCACAAATCCTCAGTGAACACCATCGCTGCTAACATATCTGGAGCAGACTGCTCTGCATCCTACTTTTACCACTTTACCACTGACAGCTGTTCTTTCTCCAGTTTATTTGTACTGTTTAGCATACCAAGTCATTGCAGAGGTAATTCTTGCTACTTTCATGACTTGTACTGTGACAGGATTGTATACTTGTACGAGTGTCCATTTTATCTTTTGGAGTTTGTTTTAAAGACATGGTGTTCTGTTGATCTGTGCATCATTATGGAAATGTGTTTCCTAACTTCCCCACAGATCAACCTAAGATCAAGTGGCAGTGTTTGGATGTTCGTACTGTCCATTACTTTCTTCGTGAAAACTATAAAGTCATTTTTCTTTCATTCTTCTACCATTAGTATGATTTTTTTCTCAGGTATATTACATTATATCAGAATCCTCCCGTCTTAGGCGTTTTGAACATGTTTTTTTCAGTGGGGCGACACTGTTCAGTGATTTGTAGACATACAGGAGTATTTTGATCTGGATTCGAAGGTGAACCGGTAACCAGTGCAGTGAGGCCAAAACTGGTGTAATGTGCTCTCGTTTGCCTGTACTGGTTAAAAATCGGGCTGCTGCATTCTGGACCAGTTACAGGATGTGTAGGATGGATTCTGTACTGTATCCTCGCTGGCATGAGATCACCTTGGCTTCCCTCAGGACGATGTTCAGGATGTCACTGGACCTGTTGCCTTCATGACTACCACAGTTTAAAAACAGGAAGTGAAGAAATAAATAGACAGATGGACAAATATATGTTGA